ATGGTTTACTCCGTAAAGACATCAGAAAAAGGTATGGAAAATTCTCACTAAGTATCTTGGGCCCTTTCATATTACACGCATGTTAGGACCTATTATTGCTGAAATTGAAGGGAACTCGAGAGTTAACCATATAACTGTTCATATAGATAGATTGAAGCCCTGCTACATTCCAATAAGAAAAAATAGACAGAATAAAACATATCAGGAAGATCCCCAAAGAAGTGAGGATGATGATAGTGAAGATGAAAGAGATGGTGAAGCCTTGTTTATATCTGACATGTACTGTTGAGATTTGTACAAGACCGACTGTCACAATAACCTGCAAGAATTAAGAACTTAAATGAACCACATGATAGTGAGAATAATGATGCACCTAATCCCAGTCATGGTTATTATCTACACAGAAACAATTAATTACTGCAGGTTACACTACAGAAATTGATCTTATTTTGTGATGGGTGTATGTGGCTGCAAGCCGTATTGTATATATTAAAATAAGTTTATGTAAGTTTGCCGACTTCTAGGAGGAATCGTTAATCCTGTGACAGGATGATCTAGGGTTGTTTGTGTGTGGGTGTGGTGGAGGAGACACAGATGACAAGAATCTCACAAAAACCCGTTTATTTTAAACATAAAATAAACTTACAGTAAGGAACAAATATTGTCTAGATACAATCGGCTGTTTGGAAGTCGATAACGTCGATGCTCCTTTAGTTGTTTGTTGTATAGGTGGCCTCGGGGCAGTGTTGTTAAACAGTTCGTGAGACTCTATTGGTCGACGTCAGTATCAGCACCAAGACGAAAAAGATTCGTCCTCAGTTTGTTGACAGCGCTTCTGATTTTCTCATCTTTTGTCTCAACTTGCTGAGTTTGTCTTGTCCTTGACGATTGGGGATTACATCAATCTCTATTCTTCGATTTGTTTATTCTGATTGGCTCCACGTCCCTTTTTCCCACTCCCTGATTGGTCCCTTGACTGTCCCTAAGTGAAAGATGACTCCTGTTCGAGTCACAAGAAAGATCTGCTTCGAAGAATCTATTTGACACCATCTGTTAACTCTGGATGGAAAGTGTTGATGGAACTTTGGAACTTGAACTCATATTTTTCCTCCATTGTTGTCTAGTCTATGGCGTTTTTGAAATTTAACGGCCTGATGCGATGTCCCTTTTTATCATTAACCTTTTCCCTTTCCAAAATTTCTATGTTCTAATTATTTGTATACGAGCGCCTTGTCAAAGGTCCATCTCTACTGGAGGACGTTCATTTATGATTATTAATCATTTATAATTATTGCATTCTGTTTTACATCAATAGCGATTTTTTTTTTTTTTTCTTGTTGCAGTTTCATATGACTAGCACAACTAATCCGATTTTTGAATGGTTTTTAACAATGGGCAATTTTTCTAGTTTCGTTTTACCCAATTACTATAATAAATGTTTAATTTCAACCCATTTTTGGAACCTCACATTTAGTATAATAGTCTTTTGTTTTTCTTCTTTCTAGAACTTTCCTCCCTAACTCTTTTCCCTTGGGTGAGATGACCAGTTCCAGAAACTAATGTGAACAAAGGGGAGAGTAAGACCCTGAGGCAAAAAGGACCAGAGGCAAGTCATTCTTTGCGGAGATCTAGAAGCACACAGACATGAATTTGAGTACTCCAAGTCAATGTTAGCGACAACTGGAGATCGTCAAGAAGTCTGAGGAAAGAGTCCTTACTATCGTGATGACGACAAGACAGTACAGAAAATGAGATTGCAAAAGGAAAGTAAGAGAAGACTTTGATTTATGAAAACCATAACGTGCTGTCTATGTAAAGGTCACACTTGGCATCTCACCCAACTAAGACACAGAATTGAGCCCGGGTATTCTCACTTTTGCTAAAACTTACTCCTTCTTATTGAATCTATCCTTTTCTATTGTTAGTTGTAACTTAGTTTATAAGATTAGTTTTAAGGCTCATATCTAAATGCATTGTTGCGAGTACTATATATTTGTTCGGAGTTGTTAAGGTAGTGTTTGTGCTGTAGCAATTAGTACATTTCTGTATTACAATGCGACGTTGGAATCCTTATTAAGAACTTATATATATATGCAAAATAAACTATTTATTTGTAGAATTTCCCAATTTCCTTAGTCTGGTAACGTGTTTTCTTTGTTGACTCGTGAATCCCACGTACAACCTCACAATATCATATATTATATTCAAATTGTATGTAATTAAATTTGTTTATATGAAACTAAACTTGGTATTAAAAAAAGTGTAAAGTTGGGGTCTTACAGGGCCCTTCAGAAGTCAGTGCCCAGTGCACCCACCATTAAATCCGCCTCTGATAATGCCATACATCTCAGTCTATATATCTTAAAAGGGTTGAATACTGCTACTACCACTTCCTTTATTATTTATAATCTTGCTTTCTTTATTTTTTGGGTTCTTTATCACAGGGCTGCTATAATAAATAAATCATGGCATTTTTTATAAAAGGTTAATAGGTTTCTTACCTCTGTAACAATGTTGTTGGACTGACTCCTGTCAATAAATAATGCGTGTCACTCAGAATATCTTGGCATGTCACAGGTTCTCCATCACTGACCTATGATATACAGGGTATTTTGAAACTCATGGGCAAAAATTTAAGTGGTGATAGAAAACATCTAAACAAGCAATTTTCACCATGCAATGCATGGGCAGAGAGCAAGCGGTGAACCACTAGGAGATATCTGTTACCGTAACATGAAAGAACGAAACACCAAATGAATAGAAGAGGTGCTAAATAATTTTATTGACAGCATATATGGCAAAATTACAGAAACTGCTCAAAAGAGTGATGTCTGCCGTTTCCTGATTACTGTACGTTGCCATGCCTTCTGAAATCCACGGTAGAAATGATGATGTGTAAGAAAACTCATGCTTTATGCTTTCCATTACAGTGTCGTCTAGCGGTTTACCATTTGCTCTCTGTCCATGCATTGTATGGTGAAAATTGTATGTTTAGATGTTTTCTATCACCCCTTAAATTTTTGCCCATGAGTTTTGAAACATCCTATAAACTGAAAACTATTGAACAGATACATGAAAGTAGCATATTTAAACTACGATTACTTTTTTAATAACATATGTAGTACAGAGAAGAAACCAAGAATAATATTTTAAAAAAATGCAATTAAATATAATTTTATATTGAAGTAAGGGGCCACTTTGATCTAAGTAAGGGGCCACTCAGATACTTTGTTACTGTATGCTCAGAAACAAAGTATCTGAGCATACAGTAGTGGTTGAAAATTAGGCTAGGCTAGGCCACCATCTTGCATTAATTTTAATGCAAGATACTGACCTAGCCACCTACCCCTAGACAAATTACTCCATATGCTATTATTAACTTAGCCTTATTTTAGCTGCTAATTCAGTAAATTGTCTGGTTTTAATTAAAAATATCAGCTTAGGGAAATTGTTTATTTATATGCTGAATGCTCATTTCAAACTGTTTTCATTCCAAAATATACAAAAAAAAACCAAAAATCTAGCAGTTTAAAATTTTAAACTTTAATGTCAAAACAAAAACAAATGTTTTTATTTTGTGTGTTTAATTTAATTTTTAAAGTAGGTGTTCTTTTTATATTGTTTTTAATGTATCTTGACGATAGCTGTCTGAACAGTCAAAAACATTTGAAAAATAGAGAATATTGCTGGTAAAAGTTTATTTTGGAGCATTTTTATACAGTTATATATATTATTGCTTAAAATTTAACTGTAAAATTAATTAGCAATTAAAATTCATAATTTTCAATTTTTAATGGGTGTTGTGGCAGGTCCCCCTACAATGTACCAGTATATCTGTATATTATTATTTTTTTCTTATCTTATTTAGTAAGTTAGTGATTGATACATCTATCCAACTAATCCTATCGTTTTCCATTGTTTAATCCTTTCAACTGCAAAATATTTACTTTCTGGTGAGTTTTGGGCTAAGAGGGGCATTGACCTATGTCATGGTGTAGGAGAATGATTTTTGGGGTCATTCTTGGTCAAGCGAGCAAAGGGAGAGGCATGTGGCGATGAAGGGGAAGGAACCCTGAGAAGAAGATCTATGCAATTAAAATGCAGGAGAGTAGTGCTTGAAATTGCTAATATCAAGAAATAGAGGAGAGTTTGTGAGTAGATTTTTCATCTCGTCGAAGAATATCCATGTGGTGAGGTTGGATTTTCTCCGTTAACTGTGGTAGACATCTTAAGTGCCCAATTTGCAGAACAAAGAAAAGGGATCCCCTACTAACATAATTTCTTTCTTTTCCTTCTCTAATCTAAGTAATATTAGTGTTAGTTTAATGTAAGCTACAGCATTTTAATTAGTAATATAAGACGATTGAAACGGAGTGTACATGTGCCAGATTTCAGATTCACAATTATTGGGAGATTGATGAGCATTGTTGAGGAAGGGTAATAGACTGTTCAAAATTGTAAATTAAAGTAAAAGTAAATAAATAGATTTTGTTATTGTATACCTAAATGAGAGGTAGTTCAATGCATATCACTTATAACCAGTACCGGCCCGAGGCAAGTTTTAGGATGGAGAGAGATCCTATTATGGCGCCCCTTGGTTGCCCTTAATTTATACCCTTTAATTTTCTTTGCCACTGAGGCGCTCCCTAGGACTTAGCGCCTGGAGCGGCTGCTCCGTTCGCCCTATGGTAGGGCCGGCTCTGCTTATAACACGTGGTCTTCAATAACCTGTATCATCACAGTCTTAATAACTTGTATCTGATACTTGTTTATATATTTTCTACCAACATATTGTGTCATCTTCATGGCCCATGACTTACACATAATACATTATTTTTAAATAATATTTAATCAGCATATATAAAAACAATATATTGTATTTTAAATACTATTTTAAGTACATTGAGTTGTTTAAAATCTATTTAGAAATTAAAAATGTTACTATTTATTATACTAATGATTTTATCATCATTTATATCCGTATAATAATCTATTTTTAGTTATAAAAGCATTTAATGGACAATTTTCTGGAAATTCTAAACATGAAGAAAAACCTCTGCAGTCATCACCATTTTACCAAACTTCCGTCAGTGCAGTACCATCTCATTATATTAATATTGGGTCATTATATAATGAATGGAATGCAGCTAGGTTGCACTTTAATATGACTCATCCAGAATTTGCAGCCTGCTTACTGCATTTACTGTAAGTTTTTATTCACTTATTTTTAAATAAGAATTTTATTTTAATAATAATTAACGTATTAAATAATTTAAATGCCAAATTCCTATGTTGTCTACAGAATTTTGAATTTCAATTTTATATAGAGGTATCCCTCATATAACACAGTAGATACTTTCCAAAAAAGTACTGTGTTATGCAAATCCATGCTATATGAAACAAAGGACTAATGCAAACCATAGAGTTACGTTCCAGATGTTAAAAGTATACTATTCTTTTCTGTCACTAAGAGAAATATGTTTATTAAAGCAATTAATATTTTATTTCCAATTAATAATTAACTAACAAGCACAATTAAACATACTGTTACTATTAATTTTAGTTAAACAAGGGAGTTTTATTTTTTCAATGTATTGTCATCTTCTGAGCTTTTTTGTTGATCTTGATCAGAAATATATCAGCAATGTCTTCATTTTTTTTATTTTTAATCTTAATTTTTTAAGAATGACAAAATAAAAATATATTGTTAATTGATAATTTGTTCTAGCAGATCATATTTGTTCAGTTGAATACTGTACCAGCAACTTTTTCCAGAATTTGTGCTTGAATACTGAATTGTTCCAGTTGAGAACAGTTTGAATACCAAGATACCGCTGATACCCCAACATTACTTATCTATGGCTAAAAAAAACTTTAATAACACTTTCTTAAAAATGTTTAAATAAACTTTACTAAATACGAAGATTAATCTATAAAAACAAAACACAATGAAAGTCTTAAAGGCTAAAATCTGAAAGCAATGACAATGACACCTGGTTGATAGGAAAGCTAGGACAAGGAAGAAAAAATTCTACTATCAGTTTTTATTAAACCTAATGAAAGGCACAAAACAAATTGAAAATTTCAATATTCTAAAGTCTGTGGGCAAATTTGAGACAACATGCATGCTTACACAAATAAAAAAATATTGAATAATTAAGTTTACACTTAAAAATTGTGAAATTTTGTTGGAGGATTTCCAAAACCATGTTAGAATAAAACCAGAAGTTGTGTTGTCTCCAATTTTTAAACCATGTTAGAGCAATACCATGTTGTAGAAGTACTGTGTTGTACTGTACAAGGGATAACCGTATACAGTAAACATTATGCAAGATAATACAAGATAATTTAACAGAAGATTCCACTAAGTTTTGATTTTAGAAATTTAAAAAATATATATTATTTACAATTTGTAATCTATATAGTAGAATGTGATGACAAACATATGTAAAACATATAATAGCCATATTAGAAATTCTAAGTTTTAAACTTGTCTAAATTTTTCAATTAGAAAATTCTTATTGTTACATGTTTACTAAATGGAAACAGAACCATTAAAAATCATATTGTAATATAGTTATCCACACAAAAACTATAATGTTTTTTTTTTATCACATATAGGCTACAGTAGAGCATCGATTATCCGACCCCCGATTAACCATCACATCGGTTAACCGACCATTCTAGTTGGCAAATTTCAAATGTCCACTAGTGATGTGGCATTACAATATTTGGCTATGTCTTGGCTACTTTAATATTATTTTTGTTAAATTTTTGCATGTTTTAGCTGGCATCAACGGCTCGACCATTGAAGGGAGGCCAGTATTTAAATGAGACTTAATTTTCTAATTATGAGTGGTTGTTTGTTTTGTGAACAATAAAATAATTTTTAAAAAATTTTTAACGATACAATAGCGACGACTATTATTTTTAAAAAAATTTGTTAGGCTTTTAACATCGATGAAAATTCAACGTGAAGTTGGTTAATAGCGATATACTAATTACGTGGGATATACTAATATACTATACTAATAATGTATTTTTTCATTATTTTTGGTTATCCTATTTTTTCAGTTATCTGACCAACCTGAGTCCCCAAGTGAGTCAGATAATCTATACTCTACTGCAGGGCTCCTTAAACTTTTTTATTCACGACCCCATTTATGATTGTGATTTTTTCGCAACCCCAAAAAATATAAAATAAAGATATATACAAATTTGCAAAAACAATAATGGTGTACTACCACAGTTCACTGTTGTGTTACAATGGAACAGAGACAACTGAATACATTGAAAAGCGACAACACTACACTAGTTCACACTACAATCAATGTTGCCGAATCATTGTCTCGCTGCACCAGAAGTTACACAACTCACGAAACCTATGACACAAATCGTGCCATTTTCAAACTCTCACAAATTATTTTCAATATTTTGCATTAAAATCTTGCGACCCCAAGATTTCGCTAAACGACCTCAAATGGGGTCACGACCCATAGTTTAAGAAGCCCTGCTCTACTGTATTCGAATTCTAACACTTACTACACATTTAGGTTTAAAGAAGCATTCTTAAGTTCACTTAACAAAGAGTTTTTAATGTTGTTGTTTTTAACCTATTATGCAATCATAAAGTATTTGAATGAAAAGTTATTAATTAGCACATTTATCTTCATTGGTAATGCTAACATGATGTCGAATGTTAACATTACCTTACATTTTATTTAGGAATGACTGTAAAAGTTACATGAAAAAAATTTTGAAGCAAAACAATATAATTTCAAAATGAAGATATTTATTACTATGAAAGCAATTTCTTAAGAGATTTAATATTCTGAATGATATTATCTTGTCAGCTACTGTTTGGATCTGTAATTTTTCTCTTTGGTGCCTTGTCAGGACTGACACCACAGTGTCTTATGCGACATGGAAGCCACAGCAGCAAAATTGGTTTGGGTTAAAAAGTAGGTCATGTGAGTGACCACATATGGCATGATTGGATTCAGATGGAGGCAATTGGAAGACACTCAGATACTAGGTAACAAAACTAATTCTCGTTTATTTTTTCTACTGGATCTACAGGTTAATGGTAGCATGACAATTAGACATTGGATATGAGAGTGGTATGGACACATTTATGAGAGAGAGAGTTTACATGAAATTGGGGGTTGTTATAAATACCTGGAATCTTGAGAGAACTGCTTATATACAAGATGATCATTTGACAGTCTTTGGAATATTTTATATTTGAGAGTTTGGAGCACACAGGGAACGGTTCGAAGAAAAGTGTGTCTGGGACAGGGGTAGGAAATTTCCTTGGGTGGAGGTCATGATGGAGGCAAACTGGAGGAGACAATAATCCATTATTGGCAGGAGATAATAATCTGTTATAGGCAAGAGATCATATTCAGTGTTCCTATACAGACACAGGGTTCTATATCTGTGGTGAAACAGGCGACAACTGCTTCCTTCTGCCATTAATTACAATATAAAATTAGTAACACATGGCCAGATGGTCAAGGGATCATGGGAAAGTGTTGTTTTCACTGTTGAGAAAATGTTAATCTAGATGTTCTCAGGTAGTAGATGATAACAATTATCAAGTAGGTATGATGGAATCGATGACTGATTTTCATTAAAGTTCAGATTCTCACACTTTTATGATGCACATTTTAATGAATAATTTTAGTGTTTTTTACTAAATGGATAAAGAACTTTTACACTGATGGTAAAACAGTTTTATTACAAAATTTTACTATTAGAACCATTAAGTTTAGTATATTTTTCATTATATTCTGTATTGTCTATAGTTTTTTAATTTTGCAATCAGAATTATATTGAAGAAAAATATATACTGTAATTAATCTGTAACTGGAGACATGCTATCTCTGAGACCATTAGATATTTTAAAATTTTTAATTTTAACATTTTTTTGTAGATAGCACTGTAGGAGTTTATGAAGCTGTCAATTATTTATCATGTGTAAATTCATACAGGTAAAAGTTAACCGAGTGTTATTGTTTTTCATTTTTTTATTTTGTGGTGGTTTCATAGACCACATGCTCTGTTAGTATTGTTATAATTGATGAAAAAAGTACTCCATTCAATGGATGTAATGGCTGGAACATCCATTAGTATATGCTACAGTGGTAAGGAATTTGAAGATAAGTTAATGCAGTGTTATAATGACATGTCTAAAGAAGAAAGTGATGTGGATGACTCTGGTGTANTACAGGTTAATGGTAGCATGACAATTAGACATTGGATATGAGAGTGGTATGGACACATTTATGAGAGAGAGAGTTTACATGAAATTGGGGGTTGTTATAAATACCTGGAATCTTGAGAGAACTGCTTATATACAAGATGATCATTTGACAGTCTTTGGAATATTTTATATTTGAGAGTTTGGAGCACACAGGGAACGGTTCGAAGAAAATTGTGTCTGGGACAGGGGTAGGAAATTTCCTTGGGTGGAGGTCATGATGGAGGCAAACTGGAGGAGACAATAATCCATTATTGGCAGGAGATAATAATCTGTTATAGGCAAGAGATCATATTCAGTGTTCCTATACAGACACAGGGTTCTATATCTGTGGTGAAACAGGTGACAACTGCTTCCTTCTGCCATTAATTACAATATAAAATTAGTAACACATGGCCAGATGGTCAAGGGATCATGGGAAAGTGTTGTTTTCACTGTTGAGAAAATGTTAATCTAGATGTTCTCAGGTAGTAGATGATAACAATTATCAAGTAGGTATGATGGAATCGATGACTGATTTTCATTAAAGTTCAGATTCTCACACTTTTATGATGCACATTTTAATGAATAATTTTAGTGTTTTTTACTAAATGGATAAAGAACTTTTACACTGATGGTAAAACAGTTTTATTACAAAATTTTACTATTAGAACCATTAAGTTTAGTATATTTTTCATTATATTCTGTATTGTCTATAGTTTTTTAATTTTGCAATCAGAATTATATTGAAGAAAAATATATACTGTAATTAATCTGTAACTGGAGACATGCTATCTCTGAGACCATTAGATATTTTAAAATTTTTAATTTTAACATTTTTTTGTAGATAGCACTGTAGGAGTTTATGAAGCTGTCAATTATTTATCATGTGTAAATTCATACAGGTAAAAGTTAACCGAGTGTTATTGTTTTTCATTTTTTTATTTTGTGGTGGTTTCATAGA